TCAGTTAACTGTTGCAAGGACAGACCAGTCCCTGGAGAGAAACAAAATTCTTGGGAGAGTGGAGAGACAGTGCAAGAGGAAGAAGACCCTGGATGAAATGAGTTGACTCAATGATAGGAGTAATGGGGCTTGGGGCGTGGAGGGGTGGGTGTGTCAGAGATGATGAGGTTGGCACAGGATAGAGCAGAGTTCAGAGCTCTTGTATAGAGGATCTCTGTGAATTGTAGATGAGTTAACAGCACTTAACAACATGCCACAGGTTAGAAAAGATTGAAATTGTAAACAACTTCAGCTTACTTGGATCCACAGTCAACACCCCTGGGTACCAGCAGTCAGGAAATCTGAGGACAGACATATTGCACTGCAGTACATCTGCAGAAAGTCTGTAGTTAGAAACCTTCCCAAATTATTGAGGAATAATGGTCTCAGTTTGAGGACTAAGGTGAATATGATTCAGGCCATCATCTTTCCAGTCCTTTGATAAACATCTGAGAGCTGGACAATGGATAGGAAAAATGATGCCTTTGAGCTTTGGTGTTGGAGAAGCGTACTGAACATTTCATGGAGAGCCAAAAGAACAAATACGTCTTGGAAAAAGGGCAGCCAGAATACTCTTGAGAGGCAAAGAAGATAAAAGTTTCACCTCACCTACTTTGGGTGTGTTGCTAGGAGGTGCTGTTCCTTGGAAAGGGACATCATGCTTAGACAGGTGGAAGGTCAGTGAAAAAAGAGGAGGAAGACCTTCAGTGAAATGGATTGATAAAATGACTGCATCATTGGACTAAAGCGTGTTGGAAATGGTAAAGATAGTGCAGGATAGGGTAGGGTTGAAATTTACTGTTCATAGAGTTGCTCTGGATTGTACTTGACTTGACGACACCTAACAGCTACAGTTTGGTTAATGCATTACGGATTTTTTGAGGTCTCTCTCAACTTTAGGGAGCTCTGATGGCCTAGTGGGTAAAGAGTTGTGCTGCCATACCAGAGAGGCAGTTCAACTTGACCAGCTGCTCCTAGGAAGAAAGATGGGCAGCCTCCTTCCTTGAAAATGATAGTCTTTGAAAATCCACTGGAAGGTCAGCTATGAGTCAGATCCAGTTTGATTGCAATGATTTGAGTTTGTTCATCTGAACTTTGGTATGTCTTCAGTTTTGTGATGGATGGCTGCTAGAAAATATGAAACATAACCAGGTTGAGAAGTTTAAGGTACATTGTGGAATTGCATCCCATTATAGTTTTCATTTGTTTTACTGTTTACTAATTATATGTCTCAGAAAAAATGCAACCAGAATGCTCCTTGGAAGTAAGATGACAAAACTTGGTTCTATATAATTTGGGCATGTTGCTAGGAGAGGCTCAGAAAGGGTTCCTGTCTTTTGTATGTAGGGTTACTATGAGTTGTAGATTCGATGGCATCTAACAACAAAAATTACATTGACTAGGGAGCTCTGAAGAGTGCTCTAATGGCCTAGTTGTAAGCTGCTGTGTTGCAGTCCCAAAGACTCTGTGGGAAAAAGATGGACGTGCAATTTATTGCCTCTGAAAACCCACTGGAAGGGTCAGCTATGGATTGGTTCCATCTGAACAGCACACAACAGGGAGCTCTAGTGGCTTAGTAGGAGTTATGCTGTGAAGTCAGAGCCATGCCTTCGAATCCCCTACTGTTCTTGCAAGAAAGATGTGCAGTTTCCTTCTGTGCACTTTACAGCCTTTCAAAGCCTGCCATGAGTTGGTTCCAGCTGGACAGTACTTAACAATACTATCTTTTTTTGCTTGTTTGTTTTTTATTTTAATTGAGATTTTGTTTTCCAGTTCAATACAGTTGATTCTTTTTTTAAAATTTAATTTAATGAACATTTACAGAGATTTTGGATTTCCATTCATTCATTGAATACTCTCTTTTTAATGTGCCTTTTTACCATCTGCATTTTCATAAGTGAAGTATCGGCACAAGTCTTTGACTCACTTGAAAAAATTTAGTTGTTTCTATTAGTTTTTTTAAATTTTATATTATTAATTTTAATGAACGTTTACAGAGATTTTGGATTTCCATTCATTCATTGTTGCATTTTTCTCCCTGCCCGCCTCTCCCCCTTTTTTCGTTCTTCTCTTTGGAAAGTAAAAGTTCTTCATTGGTATACAATCCACCCTGCCCCTGTACATTCCACTGTGTAACCTTCATTCTGGTCTCTTGTCATAACCATAATACCCAATCATATATCGCTTTTTAAACTGCTCTCCTTCATCTGTTTCAATGCAGTAGACATAATTTTATCAACTTTTTCTCAGTCTCACCCCAACCCTGATGTCAGTTCCATTCTACAACAGTGGCATTATGCAGTATTTGTCCTTTTGTGACTGAGATATTTCACTCAGCATAATGTCCTCCAGGGTCACCCATTTTCCATTTTGAATAATATTGCATGTTCTTAAATGCAGCATAGTATTCCAATTTTTTAAAATGGGACTCATGTCCTTTATCAATTTCGGCAAACTTGTCAAAGGTGGAGTCTGAAAAGCAGAAACTTGTTTGAGAAGGAAAACACAAATATTTTCTCCTTGGAGAAAGACATAAATGCTGGAACGGTCATTGTCAGCACAAGACGAGTTAGCTTGACACAGTAACTGAAAGTAGGGTCAGATATATCAGAGGTGTCTCGGCATAGAACAGGGTTCAGAGCTGTTCTTCATAGGGTCAGTGATTTGTTGTTTGTTGTAACTCAGTAACACATAACAGAAGAATAGTGATAGAAAAATGGTAAGACCAAATTACCCTGTGCATTCCCGGTGTCAAATATTTTGCTGTCTGTGGCATGTCTTTTTTTTGTATGCTCTAAATTCCAGTTTGTTCTTTTTTATTACTTAAAAATTTTTGCCTAAACAAAAACAAGGTGTCTTTTCCTGGGGAAAAAAAGTCTGTCCAACTTCTTGGAAGTTCTGGGCTGTTAGGTTATATATTAAGAGCTGTGATTTGCCTTGAATTAATTTTTGCTTAAGATGGTAGGAATGGATGAAATTTCTTTTGAATTTACAGTTCTTCCTTCATCATGTTTTTGTTTTTTTAAAGTTTATTTTAATTGAAGTTTACAGAGCCTTTGGATTTCCATTCATTCATTGTTGCGCTTTTCTCCCTGCCCCTCCCCATTAGCTCTTTTCTTTGAAAATTAAAAAAAATTCTTTCATTGTTATACAGTCCCCTCCCCGAAGTCCACTCATGCAGCCTTCATTCTGGACTCCTGTCATGACAATAATATGTAATCATATAAACTGTTCTCTCCCTCATCTGTTTCAATGCAGTATGCATTGCTTATCCCCTTTTCTCTCAGTCTCTTCCCAATTCCGATGTTAGTCCTGTTTTACAACAGTGGCATTATGCAACATTTGTCCCTCTGTGACCGAGAGACTTCACTCAGCATAATGTCCTCCTGGGTCACCCATTCCATATAATATTTCATGAGTTCCTTGTTTTTAATGCAGCGTAATACTCCATTGTGTGAATATACCACGGCTTCTCTATCCATTTGTTTTTTGATGGACACTTGGGTTGTTTACAACTCTTTGCTATTGTGAACAAAGCTGCAGTAAACATGGGTGTGCATTCACCATTTGTTTTTAAAAAATCCACAAAACTTTTGTCTACTGAATTGGTTTTGCATTGTTTTGTCTTTGTTTATACATTGGTTTGTTTCTAAATCTGATTGTTGCATATTTGTCTATGCCTTTATTATACTTTTTAGATTACTTTAGCTTTATAACAATTCTTTTTTTTATTTTTTTGTGTACTGTCAAATCAGTTCTGACTGGTACAGGAGATTGCCCCTCCTTCTCCAGCAGAGCATCTGGTAGATTCAAACCATGTACCTCTGGCATTGCAGTGCAGCCTCTTGCCACTAGGCCACAAAAGCTCCCTGCTTTATAACAGTTCTTAAGAGCAGGTTGTGTTAGTCTTGTGATTTTGTTCTTTTTCAGAATTACTTTGGCTTTTCTAAAGAATCCTTTTAGCATAGCACAAAATGTATTGGATTAATAACTTGAAAGCTTTCTAAAGAATCCTTTTAGCATAGCATAAAACGTATTGGATTAATAACTTGAAAGCTTTGCAGTTTATATTCTCCAGTTTCTATGAGGGAGAAAAATGTGTGGTTTCCTCCTGTAAAGATACACAGCTTTGGAAACCTGGTGGAATGTTGCCATGACTTAAAATTGACTCCAGGGGTGGGATTTTTGGGGTGATATTTTTTTCTAGGTTTTGCAAATTTTATTTTTTTGCTATTTGCAATTCTATATACATTTTATAAATAAGAGTTAAGTTTTGACAAAATCTGATAAGACTTCAACGAGATGGAAAAGGCAATCTCCAATTTCGTATGGAATGGGAAAAAGCCCCGAATAAGCAAAGCACTCCTTAAGAATAGAAGAACAGTAGGAGGTATCTCACTCCCTGATTTCAAATCCTACTACACTGCCGTAGTAGTAAAGACAGCATGGTACTGGTACAATGACAGACACATAGATCAATGGAATCGAATTGAGAATCCAGAGATCAACCCATCTATCTATGGTCAACTGATCTTTGACAAGGAGATGAAATCAGTGAAGTGGGGGAACGACAGCCTTTTTAACAAATGGTGTTGGCAAAATTGGAAAAATATCTGCAAAAGACTCAAGCAAGACCCACACCTCACTCCATACACAAAAACCAACTCAAGGTGGATCATGGACCTAGGACTAAAACCAAGGACTATGAAATTCATTACATGACAAAATCTGATAAGATTTTTACATGATTGCTTTGAATCTGTCAATTTAGGGAAAATTATGATTTTAAAAATACTGATTGTTTTGAACCATAAACAAGATACGTTTTTCACAGATCAATCTTGCATTATATAAAAAAAATCCAAAACCCAATATTTTGTATCATATTTATCCCTAATATTTAATGTTTTTGGTTTTTGTTTTTTTTTTAAATAATACAATTTTTAAAACTTTGCAATTAGGTCTTATCCAATAAACATGTGGCTCCTGATCATCTGTTGCAAATCTGCCAGCGCATCGGTCCTATTTTGGATAAGGAAATTCCACCCAGTATTTCAAGAGTGACTTCTTTACTTGGTGCAGGAAGGCAGTCTTTGCTACGTACAGCAAAAGGTACCTTAATTTGAAGAAGTGTTCTGCTTTGTATTAATAGCTTAATTATTATTTATAACTGTGAAGTAACTAATGTAAGTATTGTGGAAGAAGGGTGATAATGTAATTTATAAAATCATACTGTGTACTATAAAATCCTCTGCATTTAGCATAGAACATTGAATTTTATTACATGTTTGATGAGTCCCGGCATTAAAAAAAAAGATAAAGGTATAGATGTTAAACTGAAAGGTTTGAATTTATTCTGATATGTGTTCCAGGTTTTATCAATGTGAGTTATTTTCCATTTTGTAGCTCAGTTTCAACTTCATTGAATGTAATTGTATTTGTTTAATAAACTTTTAAATGTTAGAAGTATTTGATTTGATACTTAGATCCTGAAATTTTCTAAATTTGATAGTTTGAAAACATGCACCAAGAATGTACACTTGCATGGTTCTTTTTTTTTAACCAGCTTAATTTTTTCACAAAGCTGTGTGGTAGTATAATGATTGAAATTGCCATTCTTTCTCTGTGAGCTGGTATCAGTTACTTAGACTATCTGTATGTGATATGACTTATGTATAATATATGGCTTAACTGCTGATGGGTTGATTGTTAGTTCTTTGATCTTGAGCATATGTGAAGTTGATCTCGTGATTGATTATTCTGCCCTTAGATGTACCACTAGTAGAAGGCTTTGAGAAAGTGCAGCCCTTCCTCTTAGTTCCATGCCCGACTTAGTTTGTCAGTTTTAGTTGTTTCTTGGTATTCTATTGTCATGCCACATTTTGGTGGTTAATCTTCTTCCTCCTGTGTCCCTATTCACCTTGTAGTTATTTTATCTTAGGTTGTTTTATAGTGGTTTCTTGGGTAGCCTGTTTTCCCTTACTTATGTCAATATTCATTGTGGTTATTTTATGATGAACACTGCTTTAGAAGTAGCAGACATTTGAAGACTTCACTGATAAAAATACAGCAAGCGGCTCTAGCATAGGGGCCATATTTCTCTGTTTTGTACTAGTGCCATGAGAGGATGCCTTGTAAACTGCTCTTTGATCATGATAGCAGTAATGAGTGTATTTCTGTAAAATACAAGATACCTGTTAGTTTGGGGCACCTGAGGCTCAGTAGACATTTAGTATGATGTTTTCCTACTCTTTCTCTTTGAGTTTTGAAACTAGTTTCTAGCACAGCATAAAACTACTCACAATCTGTGTTCTGCTGTAGTCTCTTGAAGAGGAAGGCAGACCATTTTTCCAAGTGTGTGTGTTAATAGTGAGAGGAGGAATGGGACCTTGAAATTTGTATTCAGACACACAGATCTTAAATATTTGTTCTGTGTAAATGCTTATCTGATCCTCAAGCAAGAGGAGAGTTACTTTTGATTTGTCAGTACTTCCTAAGAAGACTACAGTTGTGACAGTATTGGTCAAATTAATTTTAAAACAGACCAATTATTTACATAATTATGTAATTTAATAATTTTCATATATAGTCGAGAAATTGTCCTTAAGCAAATTTCCAAATTCTTTTGCAAAGTTGAATCAATGTGATTTACTTTTTATATTTATAATGTGGTGTAATTCTTCACTGAAAAATAAAAATGTACTTTGATACTTTGATCAAGATTTGTTTTTATGGTCCATCCTTACTAATCTTTTGCAGTAAATCCTCTTTCAAGGTCCTATAACCTTTGAGCCTCAGTTACCTCATTTATAAATTGGCAATGATAACCTACCTCACAGGGTTGTTGTGAGGATTCACTGAGATCATGTATATGGAAAGCACTTTGTAAAATGTAAAGTGCTGCACAAATGCTAGTTGTTGTTGTAACTGAGATGTCTTATTAAATATTTTCTCCCCCCTTCAGAAATAGTCTAATAAACTTTCAGGGCTTTTCTGTTAAAGTATACTAGTTGGTAAAACTTTGAATAAACAGTTGTTAAAATATACGTAAGTATTCTATAAAATCTTTCTTGGGGTTAACTTTCAAGATTTTATGTGTATCTAAAATTCATTTTAAAGACTGCAGGCACACAGTTTGGAAGGGCTCTGCCTTTGCTGCTCTTCATAGAGGAAGACCTCCAGAAATGCCTGTGAATTATGGGTCTCCACCAAATGTTGGTAAGTATGATAGACTTTACATGTGCCCAAAACCATCCTTTAATTTTTTGACCAATTTTAACCATGCTTCAGTAAAGTTTAAAGTGAAATATTGATATGTTGGTTTTAGTAGTAACGAATTAAATTTTGGTTTCTTCTTTTCTTAATATAAATAAATACTAAAACCAGAAATTTTAGTATAAAATTTGTGTTAAGAAATGTCTGTCCTGAAGATTTATAGAACATAGATTTTGTGACCCCTATAGAAATTATTCTCTGTCACATGAAGTTTCTCTGAGTCTAGAAATCTTCATAATATCACTTAACAACATCAACAAAGATGTTTGTTTTCTTTTTTGTTTAGCTTTTTGCATATAGGTTTCCTCTTAACATTTGCTGTTGTTTTTATTTCTTAGTGGAAATTCATCGAGGAAAACAACTCACAGGGTGTTCCACTTTTAGCACAGCATTTCCAGGAACAATGTATCAGCATTTAAAAATGCACAAAAGGATTCTTGGACATCTATCTGCTGTTTATTGTGTAGCATTTGATAGAACAGGACATAGAATCTTTACGGTGAGTTAATGTTTTAAATTTAATTTGGGGAATTCTAATGTAGAGAATAATGGAGAAAATCTTCTAAAACATACAGATTTTGGATTTCTTGTTGTCAGGGGTTTTGGCTCACTGGCTCTAATGTGGAGTCCAAAATACACCAAGTCATTGTGATGCAGATAGTTGGGAGTTGTGTGTTGGTTTGAAAGACATTGATTTAGAGTGGTTGTTCTTAAGCTTATGATCATCAGAGATGCTTTTAAAATTTAAGAAAAGGATGTTTTTCAAATACACACACACAAACACACACATTTATTTATCTCTTTAATTTTTTTTTTACTACATCCCTTCAAGTCCATTCTGGACCTACTGAATTAATTTCTTATATATATTAACAGTATTTTAAAAACCTTATACAAGTGATTTTTATTTATACAGATTAATCATTGACCCAGTGAAAATACATAATTATAAAAATATTTCAAGGTTGCAAGTAATTAAAAAATTTAGAATTTATTTTACAGTTTAATGTTCCAAAGGAAAATTTATTTGACTAAGAAGTTTCACATATTAACTAACTGTCTTTGGCGAATCGATAATCAATGCATAGTGACTAAAAAGCCTAAATGCAAAACAAAGAAATATATGCTATATTTTCTGGATTCTGTGCCATATTTTGTTCCTAATGGTATCAATTTAACTGTTTTATCTAAGACTTAAAATATATTAAAAAAATTACACAAAGAAAAGTAAAACTTTTTTAGATATAAAAAAAAAAAACCCCAAAAAAAGAAGTTTCACATAGTAGGTACTCTGTTTAATGAATGAATAGGTGTTGGATTTATATTTATGACTATTTTTTTTGAGGCATTGCATCTTGTTTCTAGCCTATGAAACAATATCCTAATAGTTAAAAATTATTTTAGTGAAACAATCTAATATTTAACCGTTGTTAGTAGAAATAGGAGAACAGTAAACTTTTATTTGGACTTGATAATTGAGAAAGCATTTTTTGGGGGAAATAAATCATCTCCTACCTATAGGAATTAAGATCCTACTGTGTCCTTAGAATTGCATTGAAAAGAAATAATATGATTTCTAGATTGGTACATAGTTGAGGAAGAGTTATAATTTGGCTGCTGTGTAAAAAAAAATTATGTGGCTTGGTGTACTAGTGGATATCTGTTTATTTTTGGGTCTCTTTTTCTTAGGGATCAGATGATTGTTTAGTAAAGATTTGGTCAACACATAATGGCCGCTTATTATCCACATTAAGAGGTCATTCTGCAGAAATTTCAGATATGGCAGTAAACTACGAGAATACAATGATTGCTGCTGGGAGCTGTGATAAAATAATTAGAGTATGGTGCTTAAGAACATGTGCCCCAGTTGCTGTTCTCCAGGGGCACACGGGATCAATTACATCTTTACAGGTAAATGTCTAAGTTTATTATGTGTACATTAGTGTGTTTTATCACTATCTTTCTTTTTAAAAAAATACTCCTTGGAGTTGATAAATAAGATGCCTAATAATTATATGCTGTTCCAGTCATTTTTGGATCATCTTGAGCAGGATCTTGCTTGCAAGTGATATTAATGATACTGTTTGATAATTTCTGTGCTTTATGGGATCACCTTTCTTTGGAATGGGAACAAATACAGATCTCTTCCAGTCAGTTGGCCAGATGGCTGTCCTCAAGATTTCTTGGCACAAGTTGGTGAGCACATCTAGGGCAGCATCTGTTTGTTGAAATATATCAGTCGGTATACTGTCAATTCCTGGGGCCTTGTTTTTTGCCAGTTCTTTCAGAGCACCTTGAACTTCTTCCTTCATCACCACAGGCTCTTGCTCATACATTGTTTCATGAAATTGTGTCTGCCAATTCCTTTTGGTACAGTGACTCTGTACTTTGGTACAAAATAACTCTTTCCATCTTCTTTTAATACTTTCTGGATTATTTAATATTCTGCCCAAAGCATCCTTATGCATTGCAACTTGAGGCTTGAATTTGGTGAGCGAGTTTGGCCCCTTTGATTTTCTTACTCCAGCTCTTTGCACATTTCATCATAATACTTTGTCTTCCTGAGCTGCCCTTTGAAATCTATTCAGCTCCTTAATATCTTGATTTCCTCCCTTTGCTTTGCCTTCTTGGCGGTATGCAGATGACACAACCCTGCTTGCTGAAACTGAGGAAAACGTGAAGTGCTTGCTGCAAAAGGTCTGGGACTGCAGCCTTCGATATGGATTGAAGCTCAATATCAAGAAAACGAAGATTCTCACCACTGAGCTGATTTGCAGTGTCATGATGGATGATGAAGAAATTAAGATTGTAAACAGCTTTAGTTTGCTTGGTCCCCAGTAAACACTCTTGGCACCAACAGACAGGAAATTAAAAGATGTATTGTGTTGGGAAAAATCTGTTGTCAAGAGACCTCTCCAAAGTACTGAATAGCAGTCATGTCATTCTGGAGACTAAGGTGCACCTGATACAGGCCATGGTCTTTGCAATTACTTGTGATGCGTCAGAGAGCTGGACAGTGACTAGGGATGATAGAGAATTGATGCCTTTGAGCTGTGGTGTTGGAGAAGAATATTGAATATAGTATGGATTGCTAAGAGAATGAACAGGTTCGTCCTGGAGAGGATAAAACCAGGCTGATCCTTGAAGGCAAGGATTGTAAAGCTTCGTTTGACCTACTTTGAACAACATATTGCAAGGACCAGTCCTTAGAGGGGGATGTCATGCTTGGGAGAATGGAGGGACAGAGCAAGAGAGGAAGATGCTGAATGAGATGGATTGATTAAGTGAGTGGGGTAATGGGGATAGGTATGTCAGAAACAGTAAGATTGACACAGGATAGAGCAGGGTTAAAGGCTGTTGTAAATAGGGTCGTGATAAGTTGCAGGTGACTCTTCGGCACCTAACAACAACAAAAATTCTCTACTTTAAATTTTGGGTACTCTGGTAGCCTTGTAGGTAATAACGATCTTAATCCAAAGTTGTTGTCTCTCTGGTGTATGGAATTCACTGCTGACTCTGAGAGAAAGATGGGCACTCTCCTCCAGTGTGATTGCTTTATAGCTACTGAAAACCTGGAGAGTCTGCTGTGAGTCATTTCTGGCTCAGTGGCATTGAATATGAGTTGGTGTGGGTTTTATTTTTTGCTGGTTTGCTTATAACATTCTTACACATTGTGTTTCACACTATTCTTCATTCATGTTGTATTTCATACAGTCATACTTATGCATTATGTTTTATAAAATGAATTACCATTGGACTTTGTCCATCATTACCCTGTCTTTTGCCCAGGTCCTTCCCCTTTACTCCCTGCTCCCAGACTGTGTAAACCTGTGGTTTTGCCCTTACCCATTCTCAGCCCTCCCCTCCTTGATTTTCCATACATGTTTTACTAGTTACCCTTCTATCTGTACAATAATTGTCTTACTGCAGTATTTGTGCTTATGAGATTGTGTTAACTCAGTATAATGCTTTCCTGCCTCTCCCAAGTTACACAGTGCTTTGAGAGATCATTGCTCCTAAGTGCTGCGTAGTATTGCATTGTGTGAATGTACCACAATTTCTCAGTCCATTCAGTTGTAGTTGGACATTTAGGCTGTTTCTATGTTCTTGCTATGGTGAATAATGCTGCTAGGACCATTGGTGTACAAATCTCCATTTATGTCTCACTTCTGATTTCCTTGAGAATAGCATCTCAGACAAGGGTATCATAACAAAGGTTTACAGAATACTCCTGGACCTCTGGAAAACAAAAGACTGATAATGGGCAAAAGACATGGAAAGACTTTTCACAGAGGAATACATTTCAGGTGGCCAACAGACACATGAAGATATCCTCAAAATCACTGGCAAATCAAAACCAAAATTAGGTACCATCTAACTAACCCTAGTAGCAGTGGCAAAGCTTACTTAGTCTGGCAGCAAGCTGTAAATATTGGAGAGAATATGGAGAGGTGGAAACTCTGATACACTGTTTGTGGGGTTGTAAAATGGTGCACCCACTCTGGAAGACAGTTTGGTGTTTTCTCAAAAAGTTGAGCATAGAAACTACATACAACCCAGGTATTCCATTACTAGGAATATCCAAGGAAATTGAGGGTTTTTTTTTAAATTTTAAATTTAGCAGTCAAGAGAAAGGGGGAGGTCTGATAGCCTAGTAGCAAGAAGCTGAAGGCACATGGTTCAAGGCCACCAGCTACTCTATGGAAAAAGAATGGGTAATCTCCCATGTGTTAACTGCCTCTGCAAACCACAGGAGGGTCAGCTATGGGTTGGTTCTAACTCTGGTACACAACAACAATCAATAGAAATTTTAATTAATCATAGTTTGACAATGAGAAAAAAAATCTGATGCAGTTAAAGAATTTTAAAAGATGGTTGTCAGTTTTCCTTGAGGCTTCTAATTTAACAGGATGAGGATAAATTAAAAATTAGTGTTAGGTTAGTTTTTCCATTTTAAAACTTGTGGATATTTGACAGCTTAATTAAATTTGGTCAAGTATTCGTGCACTTCTGTGGGGAAAATACACAAAACTAGATAATAATGCAGTGAACCCTGTGTGCCCACAAAGGAGAAAGATGGGCAGTCTCTTCTTGTGTAGTTTGCAGCCTCTGAAAACCCGTTGGATGATCAGGTATAAGTTGGTTCCAGCTTGCAGCAATAAGAATTTTTTTTTTAACGTAGCCATTTACTCTTGGCCAATTCTTTTAACAGTCTTACCGGTTTGTTCTTAAAGCAAGTACTACATTTCATACAAGATCCCCCCACCATGTATGTTTCAGAATGTCTTTAAAAGTTAGGAAAGCATTTTCCCCCCTTCTTTTGTTGTTAATTAATTTTAATGAAAGTTTACAGAGACTTCGGATTTCCATTCATTCATTGTTGCCCTTTTCTACCTGCCCCCCCCCCCCCAGTTCACTCTTCTCTTTGAAAAGTAAAAGAGAAGTTCTTTCATTGTTATACACTCCCTCTCCCCAAGTCAACTCCACTGTACAGCCATTTTTCTGGACTCCTGTCATGTCAGTAATACCTAATTATATATCCCTTTTAAACATTTCTCTCCCTCATCTGTTTCAATACAGTATACATTATTTATCTCATCTTTCTCAGTCTCCCCCTAACCCCGATGTCAGTCGTATTTGACAATAGTGGCCTTATGCAGTATTTGTCTTTTTGTGACTGAGATATTTCACTCAGCATAATGTCCTCCAGGGTCACCCATTTTGAATAATATTGCATGAGATCCTTGTTTTTCAGTATAGTGTAGTATTCCATTGTGTGAATATACCACAGCTTCTCTATCCCTTCGTTTGTTGATGGGCACCTGGTTTGTTTCCGACTCTTTGCTATTGTGAACAGAGAACAGCAGTAAACATGGGTGTGCATAGGAAGGCATTTTAAAGACAAAACTATACTACCAGTATCACACTTAGTTTTTTACTAAAGTTCTGTTTATCAGTTATTTTTTGTGGTGTGATTTTACTTCGTTTCAATCAGGATTCAAACAAGTCTTACGTGTTGCATTTAATGCCATAAATGAAGACAAACACAAAAGTGTTATCCCTGCTTTGCTTTTTAAATTCCCTTCCTTGCAGCTTCTGAGGAATAGGAACTGGATGTTGCCATTTGCATCCTTGTGAATGTTTAACTTATTCTTCTCTTTCTTGTGTGTCTTTGGATCTCAAATAATAGTTTTCTTAAATATGCATGAGAGTTAACTTGGAGATATTGTACAAAATACTTATTGCCAAAGATTCAGATTTAATACCTTTTTGGTGGTGGTTTGTGCAGTTGAATCGGAACCAACCTATAGCCAACCTTCCAAACGGTTTTCATAGGCAGTAAGTTTTATGAGAGGAGATTGCCCATCTTTTTCCCATGGAGCAGTTGATGGATTTAAACTTTGTGCCTTTGGGATTTTAGCATAGCTTCTTGCCACTGGGCCACCAGAGTTCCCTACCTTTGTGGTGGTGGTTGTTAGGTGATTTTGAGTTGACCATAGCGACTCTATGAATAAAAGATCTGAACCCTGTCTTATCATGTGCCATCCTCATATTTTCTGATGCATTACAGCTGCCACTGTGTCAGTCTATTTGGTTGAAGGTCTTCTCTATGAAATAGCCTCTGTTAGCAGTATGCCTGAAGTATGTGAGATGAAGCTTTATCATTGCTTCCAGGAAGCTTTCTGGCTGCCCTTTCTCCAAGACATAGCTGTTTGTACTCCTCTCCAACACCACAGCTGGAAGACATCAATGACATCAATTCTGCTTCGGTCATCATTATTCATTGTGCAGCTCTCATATATTCAAGTGACTGAAAAGACCATGACCTGAATCATGTGAACTTTAGTCTTCAAACTAACATCAATGCGCCTCTGTATTTTTGAGAGGTCCCTGACTGAAGATTTTTCAAGTGCAATATGTCCCTTATCTCCTGACTGCTGGTACCAAATGTATAGATTGTGGCTCCAAATAAGCTGAAGCCGTTGACAATTTCAGTCTTTTCTGTGTCCATCATGATGTTATCTATTAATCCAGTGGAGAAGAGTTTTGTTTTCTTGATGCTGACATATAATCCTTACTGAGGACTGCAGTGTTTGACCTTTTGCAGCAAGTACTTCAAGTCCTCCTCACTTTCAGCAAGCAAGGCTGTGTCATCTACATACCGAAAGATAATGATGTGTCTTCCTCCAATCCTGATGCCACATTCTTCTTCATAGAGTTTAGGTTTTTGAATAATTTGCTCATCTTATAGATTAAATAGGTATTGAAAAAGGATACAACCCAGATGCACATCTTTCCTAATTTTAAACTTTGTAGTGTTCCCTTGGTGTGTTCACACAGTAGCCTCTTGGTCTAGATATAGGTTTTGCATGAGCACAATTAAGTGTTCTGGAATTCCCATTCTTCTGAATGTTGGCCATAATGTGTTGTGATCCATAGCCAGATGCCTTTGTATAATCATTAGAACACAAATAGGCATTCTTCTGGTATTCTTTGCTTTCAGCCAGGATCTATCTATTATCAGCACTTGTATCCCTGGTGCCATGGCTTCTTCTAAATCCAGCTTGAATTTCTCTATGTACTGTTTTAGCCATTGCTGAATGAACTTCAGTGGTATTTTCTATGCATGTTATTTTAATATACAGTTTGGTAATTTCTACTTTCTGATAGATCACCTGTTTTGGGAATGGGATCAAATATGTATCTCAAGTCATTCAGCTTGCAGCTGCTCTACAGATTTCCATGCATAGACTGGCAAGCACATCCAGGGCTGCATTTGTTAGTTAAAACATGTAAGATGGTATCCCATTGATCCTTGGGGTCTTATTTTTTGCCAGTGCCTTCAGTACAACTTGAACTTCTTTCTTTGTTACTAATTGATTGGTTGTTTTGTTTTTTGTTTTTTTTTAAACCTATTAACATATCTTTATTTGCTCTTGATCATATGGTACTTCTGGAACTATTTCAGTGTCAGACAATTCTTTCTGGTGCAGTGATTCTTTTCTCACTAGGCTATCTTTTTCCAAGGACTGCCTCCTTTTGACCACGTGTCCTTTGTTTTACCTTCTTTGCCTCCAAGAAGCTCCTTGGTTGCCCTTCCTCCAAGACACATTTGTTTGTTCTTTTGGCAGTTCTTGGAATATTCTGTTCCCTTCAGTAGCATAAAAATGAAAGCTATTCATCTTCTATCTTCCTTATTTGTTGTAAACTTTAAGCTGCATAGGATGCAGTTAGAAAGATGCATACGTGAGGAGCATCTTGGTCTTTAAACTGACCTCCTTGCTGTTTAGCACTTTAAAAAGTTGCATTGAGGAAATGTGATGTCGAAGATTTCTTTGAAGTATTTAAAAGCAGCTGTGCCAGTCTAAAGACGTAAGTGGCCTTGATCTAATTTATGGTAGTTTCATTTGTTGCTTATGTATGTAAAATTGGGACAATAAATAAACACTGAAGAAGAATTGATGTTTTTGAATTGTGGTGCTGGCAAGGAATATTGAATATCCCATGAATGGCCAAATGAATGTGTCTTGGAAGAAGTGCAGTCAGGGTGCTCCTTAGAAAAATGATGACATTTCCTCTCAGATATTTTAGGCAAGTTGTCAGGAGGTTCCATTCTGTGGAAAAGACCTTGGGAAGAGGAAGACCCTCAAGGAGATGACTTAACATAATGCAACAGTGGGATTGAGAATGGCAGAGATTGTGAGGGTGATGCAGGATATGGCAATGTTCCAGTCTGTAGTTCATAGGGTCTCTTAATGGTAGTTAACTCCACCTAACAAAACAAAGACTAGTAAGCTGCTTTGTGTTGACCTTTTGAATATTCTTTTTACTAAAATGTTTGTTCAGGTCTTTGCTACAAATTTTAAGTCAGTCATGAAGTGAATTACATTCTCATTCTCATATTCTTGTGGTCCAAGTGGTTCTGTTCCCCCCCCCCCCTTGGCTGGGGCTCACTGATTTGAAATAATGATCTTATCTAAGGGAGCTATAGTGGCCAACCCAAAGGCACATAGTTTGAATCTGCTAGTTATTCTGTGGGAGAAAGATGTACGTTCTGCTTTCAGTAATTACCAGCCTCTGAAAACCAGCTGGAGGGTCAGTTATGAATTGGTTCTGACTGGACAGTATACAACAGCAACTGGAACAAGTGTCTTAGGGTCCATTTTGGGACTTAGCATTTTTCTGTTGGCAATTCCATACCTATATTTCATAGTTTCAATTACTTAGGTTCTGTGATGTGTTCTGTAAGATAAGGCTGTATTTTAATGGATAGTCTTTCAGGTTCTGTGTTTCACACTGTAAATTGTGTTTCATAAAATCATCCGTATTCATTTTATAAAATTAATCACTATTGAATTTTGCCTACTATTAGCCTGTATTTTCAGTACCCTCTCCAATCCTTCCTCCATTCACCAAATTGTGCATATTTCCGCTGCCCTGCCCTGCTCTCTTGTCCCACCCTCCCGCCTTGGGTCCTCATACATGTTTTATTAGTTACCTTTTTTATTTCTATGATGATGGTCTTATGCAGCATTTGTCCTTTTAAGACTAAGTTAGTTCACTCAGCATGATGCTCTCCAGTCTCTTCCAAGTTATGTAGTAATTTTCGAAATCCTTTTTCCTAAGTGTGAATATCCATCATGTGACTATCCCATCTCCATCATGTGAATATCACAATTGCTCAATCATTTTATTGTGTTTGGACATTTGGGCTATTTCCATGTTCTGAACATTGGTGTACATATCTCTGATTGTGTTTCAATTCTAATTTTCTTGGAATATATTCCTAGCAGTAGAATAGGTGGATCACATGGAATTTCTATGTTCAGCTTTTTTTAGGAAATTCTGGACTGCTTTCTAGAGGGGTTGTACCTTTTTGTATTCCCATCAACGGTGTAATAATAGAGTTCCTATATCTCTGCATCCTCTCTAACATTTTTTTAATTTTTAAAATTAGCTATAGCTTTCAAAATTTTATTTTTATAGCAATCACATCATATTTATAAATTAATATATTTCTTATAGGTAATTTCATTATTAGAGGTTTCTGTTTTAGTCATTTTAATTTTTTGAAAGTTTTAAAGTATAACATCAGTAACTACTGCAAAATCTGAATTATGTATGTATTACTTTTTTTAGTTTAGTCCAATGGCCAAAGGCTCTCAAAGATACATGGTCTCTACTGGTGCTGATGGGACTGTTTGCTTTTGGCAGTGGGATTTAGAATCCCTGAAATTCAAGTAAGTACATTTTAAAATGCAATACGTCATGATCTGTAGCTTTTAAACTATGAATTAGTCTAATGAAGTTTCATTGTAAAGATTATTGTGATTGACTTTATTTTTAAAATTAATTTCATTACATAGAACATATTGTACCATATTGTTCACTATTTGCTTTTTACAGTGTGAAGCATTTTGAAAATTTTAGAGTTGTGTAGTTGGGGATATAATCAGAAATTTACACATCATCGTTTGAAAATTTGCAGACCCAGGTTATATTTGTGTGCTATTTAGTACAGTAGCTGCTAGACATGTGTAAACTGTTCAGCATTTCAGATGTAGCTCCTGTATCCATTGAACTAAATTGCTAATTTAATTTTAAACATTTTACTTGAAGAGATTATCAATACTTTGTTTTTAACCAGAGTTGCATGAGTTTATCTTAAACTGTCTTTTGGAATTTGAATAGAAATCACTTATTTTTTGGTGAAAACTTAAGTTTTCAAAATCTGTTGTAAGAGCCACATACTCACTGAAAGACTGAAGATTTTCTATCGAGGAAAAGAATGTGAAGTATCATCTTCAAATTAATACTATATACTGGGCTTACATTTTGGACTGACTGGTTTAAAAAGAATACATTTTCATTCTTCTAATTTTTCAAATATATATATAGTAAAAAATGGAAAGTTATATATGTGGTTTACTTTATGTTTCTGTCAGACAGTGCTCTATACCTTGCTTTTCAGCCTACATGATTAGCTTCTCATCGGCTGTGAGCTTTAGTCACTTTACTTCAAAATGAAAATGTTAGCTGTCCCCTTTCTGCATAGTAGAATTGGTATGAAGCAGGAGATTGGAGAAGGTCTTCTATGTCCATTCAGTTATTAAAACATAGTGGAATGACTTGGTATACTATTAGGAATTATTAAAATATAATAATGAAAAGTATTTTATACTTTCAAACTGTTATAATTTAAATGAATATATTTTTCTTTTAAAGTCCACGTCCCTTGAAGTTCACTGAAAAGCCTAGGCCAGGCGTTCAAATGCTTTGTTCTTCTTTTAGTGTTGGTAAGAGTAATTATTTTTCTTATTTTTATTTAGGTGTTTATATTAAATTATTACATTATAGTAAGACCCTTTATCAGAGAGATGCAAAGTAAGATACCTTTTTTTGGCTTAATTTATTATATTCACTTAATTAGACTTTTCCAAGCTCTTCATTTCCCCTTTTTTTGTGTTATAATAGTAATCAGAGAGAATGATGGAAAAGACATTCCTGCTTAAAAGGACATCTGAGCAACTGCTTAGTCATGTATCATAGACCTAAATTATTGTTTTCCTTTTATAGGCTAAAAGATATTTTTGGTAGTATACGTTTGTTTTTCACACTTGCTTCATGTCTTGGTATTTTTCAGAACAGAACATAGACTTTAATCATAGAAAAATCTGAAAACTTTATCCAGTGAGTTTTAGATTCTGTAGACAGATATAGGTATGTAGCGTTGTCATATTGTCTATTGTTAGATGTAGTGTAGAAGGCTGTTCTTTAATCATTTTTTGAGTAGTGGAGCTTAATGCATTTTGTGCTTTTAGTAAAGTGAAATAGTGACTCTTTGAAGAGTGAATAAAATTTTATTAAAGCTGTATTATTTGTGGGTTTAGTGAGGTTTTTTAAAAAGTGAATTAGAAAATATGTTGAAATAACGTCTGGTTTAGAATTAAGACTTTTTTAAGTAAAATTTGATTTCCTGAAGTACTTAAAATAAACTAATATTTAAATCTTAATATCTTTATTTCAGGTGGTATGTTTTTAGCCACAGGTAGTACCGATCATGTAATTAGAATGTATTTTTTGGGTTTTGAAGCACCTGAAAAAATTGCAGAACTTGAAAGCCACACTGTAAGTAAATGCTTAAATTCTATAGATTGTTAGTAATATTCCTATTGGTACATAGGAATATTACTAAGAGCAGATGATACTGGTTTGATTTTAACTTGAGCAGAGAAAAATTTTCATTTAAAGAGGATAAGTATCATACTCAGATGAAAGTGCACATTTTTCAAGTTATTTTTCGCTTTTTTCACACACACACACACACACACACACTCTCTCTCTCTCTCTCTCTCTCTCTCTCTCTCTCTCTCTCTCACTCACTCACACACACTCTCACTCACTCATCCACTGTCTCTTTCTCTATTCTGACAGTTAAAACAGTGAAGATTATAGCTTATCAGTATTCTGGAATGCTAGTTAGAAGTCTGGTTTTTTTTTCTTTTTCTCTAAAGAGTGGGGGTTTTTTGTGGGAAACTAGTAGTAGAAACTTTAGTGATTTCTTTGAGAAGTATAGTTTCGTATCACTTTAAAAGATCACCAATGTGGAGATTTCTCATTCTACTTTCCATGGATAATTTTTATACATATAATTCATAATTATAATAAATTATAAATACAACTTTAATTTCAGAAGCAGCATCTTGATATGTCTGTCTTCTAGACAAAAATGATCTTAGTATTTTTGTTTATATAGTTAAGAATCTTTGTGTTTAGAAATACAGTGCAAAATCTTTTGGTAAACAGTACGGTTTTAACAGTAAAACTAGATACTGGATTTTTATTTTACAGACTGTTGAGAGTTAAAATTTTTGTCTTTCTCTTTTTTTCTCTGCCTCTTTAGGATAAAGTTGATAGTATCCAGTTTTGTAATAATGGTGACAGGTAAGAGAGAGAGAGTGTGTGTGTGTGTGTGTGTGTGTGTGTGTGTGTGTGCGCACGCGCGCGCATGCACCAGTATACTACTTACTAGTAAGTTTGTAAATACTGACGTCATTTGACTAAAAATTGTGTGGAGTCAGAAAAACACATGAGGTTTAAGTTTTTAGAATTACTGTTTTTATTGACTCAGCACCAAAAGTAGTTCTCCTTTAACGCATCTTTGACTTATTGATATATTTATGAAAAAGATAATGAAGTTGGTACTTTGGTAATGTATTTTCCAATACCTTAAATTGATACTTAAAAACATCCTTTGTTGCTTCATTATCTCTCAGGTGCCGTAATCTATCATGAATTATGTTTAAAATGAAAATGCTAAAAATGAAAATTTTTCCAGTTTTAAAGTTCTTATTATTTCCTTTGCCAAGTAATTCTTGTACATTATCTTCTTAACAAGTTTCACAGGTTATTAAGTTGAATTTGAAATGCCTTTGCCTCATGATGATGTTGTTAGGTGCTGTGAAGATGAGAATAGAGTCATGCAAATAATAGCAGACCAGTAGCAGACCAGATATTTTTCTCAGATTTGCTCTGAATATTTATTTATCAGTTACTATCTGCCGATTCACCTGAACTCAGTACAGTGACATCAAGAAATTTTCACTTAATGATTTTCACCATAGACCTTGGTGGGAAATAAAAGATGTTTTTCTGAATATTTTAAGGTTTTTAAGTGGTAGCAGAGATGGCACAGCACGAATTTGGAGATTTGAACAGTTAGAATGGAGAAGCATTTTACTGGATATGGCTACCAGAATGTCAGGGTAAGTTACGATAGTAATTATTAATAGATACATCATAGGCACTTGGTGTTTTCTGTCTCTGTCACTTTTGGTTGATTGGTTTCTTTTGTCTAAAGCATTGGCGCACCCCCAACTGTTAGAAAACTTGATTGATGCCCCTCTTTTTTTTTTAATGGCCCTTTTAAGTTTATCGCAGGAAAGAGTTACATTAGTCCAATTTAAAAGTGGACCCCAGATGGTTACATTATACAAGCTGTGAAGTTTTAAACTTGTGACAAGGGACAGAAGGGAAATTTTCTACTCATTGCAAGGAAATCCTCACTTAAGCTTCTTTGATCCACAGGCACTTAAAACCCATGAATCTACAGCTGGCTGTCCTTAGCCAGTTGCCCTGTAGCTGAATTACTTATACATATTCTGGATGCACATTACAGCACCGTTGCCAGCAAATTTCTTCTTAAATGCCTTCACTAGTTTCTTTTTATCATAATCATCAGTGATCCCTTGGACAGTTTTAAGGGTCTTCCTGCCGTGTTTCTCTGTTGAATTCTTCCATGAATATAATCCTCAGTTCAAGCAGAGTTGAAAGAGTGGAGGTTCTGGATTGAGGACATATGATATTCCTTTTCTTCAGTGGAAATGATGCTCCTTTTATTTGACTTAACTGAAAAATGACTTATTCCATACTTGATTTGTTGTTGTTTTGTGCTGTTGGGCCGACTATGACTCATAGCAACCCTATGAACAACAGATCTAAACCATGTCCAGCCTGTATTCCATTGTTACTTATCATCTCTGATAGACTTGATACAATTACAGCAGCCACTATGTCAGTCTATCTCATTGAAGGTCTTCCTCTCCTTTACACACCCTCCAGTTTTCCATGCATGTTTTCCTTCACCAAAGACTTGATTGTCCTAACATCATGCCCAAAGTATGTGAGACAAAGTTTCACCATTCTTGCTGACAACTCTCCCAACTTGGGCCTGGTTGCACCAGCACCCAGCATTAAGGAAGAGAGCCTCATAAATATCTGGCAGTTAAATATTTTGTAAATGTATTTTATCTCTAAATTTGCATGTTGTAGTTGTTGATTGCCTTCGAGTCGAGCACAACTCAGAGGAACCCTATGAACAAAAAGACCTGAAGCCCCTCTACAACTGCTGACATTTATCAAAGTTCATAGAGTTTTCGGACGCATGTTATTTAGGAAGTGGATGCCACTAGATTAAAATATGTATTCTCAAAGTGTTGATCTCCTTGTAGAGATTACATTAAAAATGAAAAACCCTCTTCAGTAGGAAAGTAGCAATAATTTGAGCACATCAGGTAAATGTGGCATTTTTTTAAATTTTATTATTATTTTGTGTGTTGTGTGTGTACCGTCAAATCGGATCTGACTGGTACAGGAGGAGATTGTCCCTCCTTTCCCGGCAGAGCATCTGGTGGATTTGAACCGTGCGCCTCTGGGATTGCAGTGCAGCTTCTTGCCACTAGTCCACCAGAGCTCCCCTGTAAATGTGGCATTTTTAAAAAGGATTTTTAAAGATAAGTTTGATGAATAAACTAATCAAAATGCACTTTTTTAAGATTAAAACAAATTCCCCAATGGAAATAATGTTTGTGTGCTGAATTTTGACTTGTAACCTATCTTTGAAGAGAGTTGTTCTCTTACTCCATTAAAGTTCCAAATGTGTTTAAAATAAGTACAGAACTTACCTCCCTTGTAAAGACTCTTTAATGTGCTGTCGAGTCTCTTGTGACTCATAGTGACCCTATGAACAACAGCCCTAAACTCTGCTCTGTCCTGTGCCAGTCACACTGTCTCTGACACACCCATCCCGATTACCCCAGTCACTGAATCAGTCGACCTCATAGAGGGCCTTCCCCTCCTGTGCTTTCCCTCCACCCTACCAAGAATGATGTCCCTCTCCAAGGACTGGTGCCTCCTTACAACATGTCCAGAAGTAAATAATAAAACTGTATAGTTTTGAGGGCATCATCTAATAATAGTCCTTAATCTTATTTCATCATCTGGTAAATGAGAGTATTGACTATAAGCATTATGATAATGGTAAGACAAACTTCTAGCATGTTGCTCAGCTTAGAGTATGTCATTCTTCTTTTATCAGTCAAAACATGTAACTTAAAATACACTTGTAGAATCAAACTAAAAAACTAATTTAAAATAAACTTGTAGAATCAAACTAAAAAACTCATTGCTAAGTAATTGATGTTAACTAGCTAGTCTTCCATTAGGTTTCCAAGTCTGGAAATCACTGGGAAAAAGATTGCCCATCTATTCAGCTCCTGTGGAGCTGATTTGAACTTCTGGACAGATGTGACTTTTGGCACAATTCCCTGTGCACTAGGCCAACAGAGCAGCTCAGTCATAAATTTTGTTCTGGGTTTGTTTTCAAAGTGTAGCTTTATACTTTTCTTAGAAAAGTAGGATATTTCATTAAACAATTGTAGAGAAAAAATATTTGTTAACAGTTTTTTCAAGAAATGCTATTACATAAAAACAGGGAAGTGTTTTGGAAATATTCATGTCTGCTTCATTTTACTAATAGAAATAGATTTTATTTTCTATTCTAACAAAGGGTTGTATTGTATTTTCAAAATAAATTGATTTTTATCTTTTGTGAGATTATCTCTGGTGAAAAATGTGAAGAACTGGAAATTCTGCCTGAGTGTCAGACACTATTCCAGCATTTGGGGATGTGTCTTTATATTGGTAAAGGGTTTTTTTTGCTTTATTCTTTGGAGAAAGAAACATTTGAAATAAGTGTTCAAGATGATTGGAGATCAGGAGAGAGTAGTATGAAATGAATAGAGAGAAAACGTGTCAATTTCATGAGCAGTATCAGTGACTTAAAATCTATCCTCTGTGGTCTCTGAACTCCATCTAAGCAATCCCTCTCTCAGCTAACTTTTGCCCAGTTTGCTTGTGGAGATTGTGAAAAGTTAGAACTTTTCAGTGTTGCTAAATTATATTTGGGGGTAGGAGGTGGGGTTTGGGGAGGTGCGGGGGG